TCGGCAACATTTTGGAGAGAGCAACGGAGCACCAATGGACATGTCCGGAGTGCAGGGATGTTGCTTCCTGAAACAAACAAAACAAAACAAAAAAAAGAAACTGCTGCTCACAAATCCCACACAGTAGGAACAAATCACATGAAAGCCAATATAACGTGCACGAACCCCATACTATACAAACAAATCTCATAAAATTCAATATAAAGTGCACACATCCCATACACAGTGAACACGTCAAAACTGTTGAAGAATGTATGATAATTTTATTGACAGTTGTTTTTTTTACAGTTTTTGATTAACAAGAAGTTTGAGACAGTGACAATATGTCCTCGAAGATTGTCGTCCTCCCTTTTTCTGGTCATTCCCAGACTCTGTATAATATTAATTATTATTCATATCGTATGCCTCCATGGAAACATTTACATAATTCTGGAGGCAGGCTGTTTCTAGTTTGCCCAGGCTGCTTCTACTCGGCCCGACAGAACCAACATCTCAGCAGGAATGTGGAGACGTTAAGCGAAATATTTTTCACCTTTATGTTATCAACTGGAGTTACATCATTGGTCGCTTTTAAAGACAAGCGAGCTAACCCGGATTCCGGAGGTTTCCAGAAATCTTGGCCTACACCAAAAGTGGGCAATGCCTTACCTATAGGAGAAGTATGGTTTCATTAGTGTGTACATTTTTTGGTTAAAGACAAAACTCTTCCTGTTTTTTAAAGAAGCTAAAGAGGGGGCAAAAACTTTACCTTCAATTTTCTCAGAACAGCATTTTTTGGGATAGCCCCCTTGTGCTTAAAAGCGACCATTTATGTGTGCAGGACAAAATGTCTGACTATTCCACTGGGGGGTGTCAGTTTCCATTTATCTGCATGATCAGTTCTCTTGTATATTATATCTACCTTGTAAATCTCCCCCCCCCCCTTTTTTTTTTTCAACATGTCTGTTTTTTCCTTCACTTTCCCCTTCAGTATGGAAATGTGAAAAGTATCAAAGCAAACAATATTCAAATCAGTATTCTTGGAAGGGTAAAAATGGTTAGAAAGTGGAGAATATATTAAAAGCATACTGTACCATGAAGCTAAGCATTGATGTAATTTCTGAAGACACCAGAACAGCAATGAAGCACACATGGACAATGGATTCTTGAGATTAACATTATGATTTCAAACATTCCAAAGTAAAATGTTTCTTAATTATAGTGCAGTCAAAAATTTGTGATGCAACTTATTTTTCAATATCTCCTCAACTATCAAACATCGGTTCTCCAATTTTTGCACAGTGACTTGTGTCAATTTGTCTTAACAGATTAACATTTTTGTAAACTCCTGCAAGCTGGTTTCTAGAAAATTCCTTTATAAGTAGGCCTACTAATAAAAAAACCAAGTGGGTGGTTTCTACAGATTTTTAAATGTTTACAGCTGGGGCAATATAGCTTTTAATGGCAAGTCCGTCAGGTTTTTCTAATCAGGACATTATGCTTATTGAACGCATGTTTTGAAAGCCATTAGTGCAAAAATGTGTTCTCTATAACAATAATTTCTGGTTACAAGTTTTTTAATCTAGCCCCAATTGTTCTAGAAAATTTTGATTTAGTTAAGACAAATTGATACAAACTGCAATGCAAAGTATGGATGACATTGATTCTCTCGTGAAGGAGATATTTGAGGATAAGTGGCACCACGAATTTTTGACCGCACTATAGATGAGAATACAGCAGCCCTCATATTGGAGGTCCTATCGCCTCAGTTGTCTCCACGTAGGGACTCTGGTTTGAAATCTCAGAAGGGACATTTTTGTTTGACTTGACTCTCTCACCTCATGCCTACCTCAATATTATCAGAGAAGGACATTAAAGTTGTCACTTAATTAAATGGTCGCTTTTAAGAACAAGTGGGCTAACCAAGATTTCGAGAGTTTCCAGAAATCTTGACCAACACCAAAAGTGGGCATGATTGCCCTACCTATAGGAGAAGTTTTGTTTCATTGGTGTGTATATTTGTTTGGTTATAGAGAAAACTCGCCTTGTCTTTTAAAGAAACTGAACAAGGGTCACAAAACGTTACCTTCGATTTTCTCAAAACAGCATTTTTGGGATACCCCCCTTGTGCTTAAAAGCGACCAAATGGTCTAATGGGATTGAAGGGACCATTTAAACCCTTTCATTACCCTCCCTGATTGATGTATTTATTTATTAGAACCATGAATTCACTACCTCAAAGACAGCAGCGTGTGAAGTGTTAAATGTCTACTCATTTTGTGGTTTCAAATTGAGACCCAGTTAATGCTAACATTAATCAAAGAGGGGACATGGGGGAGGGGGTGGAGGAGGAGG